TTAAGCCAGATTAACTTTAATGTTCTCCATCAAGCTCTACTGTACCACAATGTTTTCAATATTCCTTTCCACAGAACAACCTATGGTATTTACAACCCATTGGATAGATACATGGAGCTATTAAATGATCGCGATTTCGATATTTTCAATATAACTTTGACTCAGTTAAAAAATATATCTTGCTTTGTGATATGTATATTGGGATTGTATAATTTTGTTGTTGTTTTTTTTAGTATGTAAGATTTTTAGTCTCATTTTCTTAAACTTTCTAATATTGATTTTATATTATAAGTAATTTCAAGTTTTGAATCCTAACGGTGATATTGTATATTGTAATTTAAACTGTTGGAAAATAAACTAGTCACAGTTGATGAATGTCCCTGCTAACACCAGGGACATTCATGGGGTAGTGTAGCAATCAGCAGCTGTTTTCTACACTACCTTTAGCACCATGTAACTGGTATAAAAATGATCTTTTAGAGCAATAATTGCACAGGATAAAATAAAAATAAGTTTGTCATATCTCTTCTTTTAGGCAGCATTTTAACAATATGGACAATTGAAGAAATAACTCTTAAAACCTTGGTTGTAGGTCACACAAAATATGAAGGTAATGCAATGCATGCTTTAATTGAAAATGAAAAGAAGAGGTACCTTAAAAACAGGTATCTGTATATTCCTACATAGTTAATTCCTAAAATACAGCTGGATACAAAGAAAGGAAACTTTTACAAAGTTCATAAATATATTTCTTCACTTTGGAAATCACTCTCTCAGTGACACCCAACATCGGGAGGTCCATAGCCCTCTGAGTCACATGAATCTTATTTACTACCTTTTTTTGTGAATGCTAATGTTTCCGTTCCATAAGTGAGTACAGTACAGATAAATATTTTCCTATTGAGGCATAATACTAAACAGTAATATTAAGACAGCACCAGATTGGTCTCTATTTGCGCCTTGCTCATTTTGATCTTTAGTCTGACCTCCAAAGAAGCATGATATAATTTTTTAACATTATTATTACATCATTTATATGATCGGCTATAAGGATGATAAGCATACCATCAGCTAATTTTCTCACATCAAAGCATGTGCATTTTGAGTATTCAGAGAGTGATAGGAAGAACATACAGAAATTAGTAATTATAGAAATACAAGCAGTGACAGAAAAGAAACAGTTGTCAGTTTTACTTAGGGAAATAAGAACAATTTTATACCTACAACAGACACTTTTGACAATGTAATATATGAAGATATAAATCTTTTTTATCAAGATTTTATGCAATTTATCGCAAATGAAACAAATAACTACTTAAGTCTATTTGGTGGATTTACACAGGTTTAAGAATAAGTAAATATCCAATGATTAAATTGGCCAACTAAAAAACAATATTTAGGTTGAAAGAGGGACATGTGATTTTAGATAAAATTTTGTTTAAATAAAAAGAAAGGAAATTCATCATCCTCCTTAGTCATCATGTGTAAATTAGATATATTGTACTTTTGTTGTATATTTTAAATGTAGTTACATTCACAGTTAAAAACTTCATAGATCAATGTATTTTTAGTTACTTTGTTTTTTTTAAGTGTGTTTGATTTTATTAATATTCAACATTGTATGTTATCCCAAGATTTCCCAAAATTTGTAAGTTCCATATCTAGTAGTATAGAGTAAGGGCTTTTTCAGTTAATATTTTAAAAAATTGCATATAGTTGTAGCTTGTACTAAAGTCCTTTCTGAATTCAGCTTGTTCTCCTGCCCGGCAGATATCTATTTTGCATGTAAGTATGTGAGTACACCATATCTTTATTGCCTAATTTCAAATCTATTTCCCAGAACAGAGGGAGATTGATTTCTTGTTCTTTTCCTGAGGTGATAGCCGCAAGTACAACTCAAGGTACTCCATAAAATTATTCATTTTCAAATTAACCGAAAAGCATCTATTTGACACCAACTACTATCAAAATGTATATTCTTCTATATGACGACAGTGTAAGTGCTATTATAACAACAGTAACAAAAGGAGAATAATTTCAATGCCTGAAGAGGATCACAAGATCCTAAATGGGTACATTTTTGACAATTCATGTTCGTTCCCCTTTTTTAATAAATAAAAACTGTTTCCTAATCCCTAAAATAAACATTGAAGTAGTAGTTTATTTTACTGAGTTGTAAATATTCTCCAAAAAGGGAGGAGTGTCACAATGGACAGTACAATAAACACATGATTTTCAATAAATGATGCAATTCACCTATGAACCTTATTTTGTCCATTATTACCATAAGAAGCATTATAGTTATGTTTATAATATAATTCCATTAGGGGCAGTAATAATGTAATTTTAGTATCATAGAAATTGTTAACTATATATTTGTATTGGACATCTATTGCTATTAAAATTTAGATACTCCCAACAGGGTTAAAAGGTAGGTGGGCAAATATGATTTTGAAATTTTGAATTTTTGAAAAATACTGTGTAGCATTGTGCACATTTTCTCTTGTATCCTTCTTGCTCTCAAAACATTCCATTTTTATTTAGTAAGTTTTTTGCAATTGTGTATAACTAGTAATTTAATTTTTTTTTTTAATGAAGTGTAATAGTTAATCCTGAAAAGATTTTTAATGTGGACCAAATGCACCAAACTATATGGACATAGCAGAGGAATGCATAGTATTAACAAAGAATATAGACGCTTATATATAAGCGTCTATATTCTTTGGTATTAATGTGCATAATAATTAATTACGAACTGATTTTTCTTTGAAATTGATGAGTTAGGTACTTTAAGGAAATACTGAAACTTTCAATTTGCCTACATTTGCGCAACTAGGCTATATTTATGTAAATTATTTGTCATTACCGAGGAGTTAATATACTATCAAAGAATATTCTTTGGTACTAGGTATGCTATAAATATTGCATTTTGCATTATAGGTATTTACAATACACTAATCTCACGGTTTGCGGTTTTGTAGCAACATCCATAACTAAAGTTTACCCCAAAACATAATTTTATTAAATAATAAAAAGTGTTAATTCAACAAGTTATAAGGAGAAACAATAAACAATACATAGTTTGTCAATACCACAATACACATATACAAGTTAGTGGAATATTTTAAAAGCTATTTAGGCAAGTATAAACATTAGACACTAAATTATCAACACGTTAATTTATAATTAAATGTTTTTAAATTGGATACATATTGACTTACGCTTTGAATTTCTTTCTGCCTCGCCGTAATCGTACCACTGCGGTAGGATTTCCGCACAAACGTCCATCCATGCCTGTTCTTTATCTTCTTTGTTGTTATAATCCCGATGCTTCTTGTTGTAAAGAATTTGTCGTTTCTCTACAGCTGTTATTAGAGATTCCACACGAAAACAAAAATCTTCTGCCATTAAAGCGGTTATTTGGCCGCTTGATTTGAAGTTCTAAATGGAATCAGAACAAAACCGTCCGACTCAGACACCCTATAAAACTACCAAGCTTGGGTACTCTTACGTTACGGTTCAGGAACCGTATAACCGCAACGTCTAGATTGTATTCGATTTTCTTTGACGTAAGGTTTTGGACGTGTATGTACGTCCCGCGTGCCGGGATTTTAGCTAGAGAAATTAGAATAGACACGCTGACTCCGATAATAGTAATTTACTAGCGGACCAACTCGACATCGAGTTTTTTAAATGAAATTTTTATTTTGTGAGAAGAAGTAAGAGATCAATACAAACAATATAAGCAAGAATATGCATAACATTCATCAATAATAATGCAAGTAAAAAGTGTATTAAATATCACGAAATATTTCGTCGAAAACAATGTTTTTTGTTGCAATGTCTCCTTCTTCTGAAAACTTTTGCTTGGCACCGGGAGTTATGTAACTTTTACTTTTTAATAAAAACGAAACCGGAAGTTGACCTCAAAACCGGAATGCAATTTTTACTTCAAATGTCGACGTGGATATCATTTAGCAGTTAATTACACCATAGCATGCTGATCACGAATTTGGTGTCAGATTTGCTCTATCTTGACGTTTTATGCGCGTTTCGGGTCACTTCCGGTGTCGGATCGCAACCGGAAGTACATATTTAGATTCGTCTCGACGAGACCTTTCGATCCATATATACATTGTGGGGTCTAAAACTTAAAGTAAATTTTAACTTCCGGTCATCTCAAAACCGGAAGTGAATTTTTGTACCAAAAGTATATCTTGACAATCTCATACGTAATACTAATAATATTCCGAAAAAATATTTTAATTATCTAATATGGTTTTTGAGTAAAGTGGTGGACAAGAAAAGGGCTTAGTGTTTTAGTATATAAGATGTATAAGTATAATATATATTATACCAAAGAATATAGACACATATGCATCTATATTCTTTGATTACATATTCTATAATAATACAGCTTCTTTGTTACTTTCGTACAGGTATAATAATAATCGATTGAAAAAAGTTGATTTGCTAATTATGACACTTTATTTTTTTCAATAATTAGACTTTATTTTGTATTTTTATATTAATTATCTATATTATTTATATTACTAACCTAACCTGTTTGTTCGAAAAAATGGCTGAAACTATTTTTGATGATAAGTCCTGTTATGGGAATTTGACACTGTACTTATTCCATTTTCTATGTGAGTACCAAGCTTACTCACTCGTACATGCCCATAAATATTTACTGGATATTCTTTAAAAGTTATCCTATCAAATAAAAAACCCAAAAATTCCCTACCCCCCCCCCCCATCCTTAAAAATTATCTGTATATAATTGCTATACAACCAAGAACACGTTCTCGTAACAAATTTTAATAGCAAGTTAAAAACAAAAAATATTGACATGCAGTTAATCAACAACAGGATTATTAATATTGCTAGACACAGGCCAATTATGTTGTTAACAAAAAAGTATTGAAAGTTATAAATTTAATTTATTTTATGATTAATTATTAATACCATTTAACATAAAATTAATACAAAAGATATATTTGACATTTTTCAAAAAATTAAAACAAGACTCAACAAACAAAACATTTCCATCAGTAAATACATTTATAAAGCACAGCCCATTTTAAATCGTTTTTAAATTATACACTTAAATGTAAAGGTTATTAAGTTATTTATGTAAAAAGACATATTTTCACGTGTTTTATGACTTCTATGAATATCTGCACAAAATAACTGAAAAGTGCTCCACAAAAAATCAAAAGTATCATGTGCAACTTCAAAATAATTGAAAAATGCGACTCAATTTATCTACCTAGGAATTAAACAGATTTGCCAACGGCCTCTGTAATGTTATTAAACCCATCTGCATTAACTAACTTTTCTAAGTCTTTTTTGATTTGATTTACAATCTCAGGCCCTTCGTATACCATAGACGTGTAAATTTGAACCAAATTTGCACCAGCTTTAATTTTTTCGTAAGCATCTGCACCAGTACAAATACCTCCTACACCAATAATAGGCAAGTTAGTCAATCTTTTCATTTCTTTAATCATTTCGGTAGACTTTTCCTTTAAGGGTTTTCCACTCAATCCACCTGTCTCTTTCTTATTTGTGGATAGCAAATAATCCGGTCTATCTATTGTTGTGTTACTAATTATAAGTCCATCTACCCTACAACCTGTTTGTTTAAGCACCTCAGCTATATCTTTTTTCTCTTCTGTGTTTAAATCAGGTGCTAATTTTAGCAACAAAGGTGGTCTATTGTCCATTTTTAAATTGTTTCTAGCGGCTATAGTTGAGCTTAAAAGTGCTTTTAACACGTCTTTATTTTGCATGCTTCTAAGTCCTGGTGTGTTAGGACTACTAATATTTATTACCAAATAATCACAAAAAGGTCCAAATTTTTCAATTCCTTTTACGTAGTCACCTACTGCATCATCTGATGTTTTATTTTTACCTAAGTTTACACCTATGATCACATTTTCCTTGCTACTTCTTATAAGTTGAATCCTTTGTAGAACAGTATCATGACCTTCACTATTAAAACCGTATCTGTTGATAACTGCAGAATCTTCTGGAAGTCTAAAAACCCGTGGTTTCTCATTGCCCGGCTGAGGATTGGGAGTCACTGAGCCTATTTCAACAAATCCAAATCCAATATCTTTAAGTCCCAGCACAGCTTTCGCATCTTTATCAAATCCAGCTGCTATACCTACAGGATTAGTGAATTCTTTTTGAAAAATAACTACATTTAAAGATGGTGGATCATCATAATTGGATTTAGGAAGCAATCTATACTGACTTATGAATACAGCTAAGTTGTGCGCTTTTTCGGGATCTAGCAAATGAACAACAGGCATAACCATATCTTTATAAAATGCATTTCTATCTCTGTAGTAAGTTAGAGCGGAAAAGCTGATATATCCGCCTAAAGCAACTGTAGCAAGAGATTTTAATTTCCGTGCAGAAGTGAATCTCATACTAACGCTGAAAGAAAAAACGAAACATTACTTTTATTGCTGTACAACATTAATTAAAAAATTAAACTATTATAGTCCAGAAATATTAATTATTGGAGGAAGGGTTATTGATATAATTTATTGTAACAAATCGGTTTAGTAGACACTACTGATATTAGGTGTATTTACTTTTTTAAATTACATACTTTACAATCAGTATATAAATCTGATATAAGATAAGTATACTTACTTGTTTGTTGACTAACTGAAACACATAAATATTTAAATTAATCACTTTTTCTAATATATTTTTTATATTGTCGAATAATAACAAACTCTGTCTGCTTCAACATGTGAGTAATTCAGTTTATTTCGATTCTTCATGATCGATGTGCAGCTGTTAAAAATCGAAAGTCTGGTTTAGGCATTTAGGTATCGTAGCGATTACGAATCACAGGCATGTCTAATAATCCGACCGACATGTCGAATAATAAAAAAAAAAACAATTGAAAAACAGTATTTCATATTCTAAACTAAAAATTGAGCTTATTTTATGCACATAAAAAATATTTATGTCCAAATATTATTCTAGATATTTTAAATTAATTTTAAAATACTTTTAAATTTATTTTATATTCTTCTTATTGTTAACTTTGGAATTTAGATATCTGTTCTGTTTGATTTTATTTCGATAGGTTCTGTTTTTTTCTGAAGCTTTACTTTCGTTTTGTTCATATTCCGACTCTGTCAAATGCTTTTCCTTTGTTCCTTTATCTTTTCTTTAATGAGTTTTCCATACAATCAACCCACATAAGGTCAAGGTGTGACACATATTGTCCGTTAATTAATAAGCTCTTTTTTGTTTCCCTTTTTATGTATGGAGCGTAACTAAGTAGCCCATTTTCCATCAAATAAGCATTTGTCTTGCATTAAAGCCGAAGTGTGTTTTAGCAGTTCTGCAGGTATTTTGATCTGGTCTTTTGCTGCAGTTATTGCTTGCTGTTATTTTTTATCCTTTTAAGCGCATTTCTTATTTCGTTTTCAAATATATCTGCAACTCATATTTGCCTGTCTTTTAATTCGTAAGTTGAGGGAGTATATATAGATATCTTTTTTTTGTAACATCTCTGAACCATACTTTACCCATTCGTCCATTTATCTTAGTTCTATTTTCAACCCTTTCATGGATATTCTGTAAGAAATTCTTTAACGTTTTTCATACCTCCTTTATGCTTTTGAGCTTCCCATGAAACATTCTACATCTTTATTTTTTCCTCGAATTTGCTGCTATTTATTTCTTTTTGGTTTCATAAGTTTTTGTTATATACTTGGCAACACAGGTAGGCAACACCGCTCACTGACACAACGGAATGAAGTTAGTTAGTTATTAGGCAATAAAGGTTAATGATGTAAAACCACGTTGTATTATTAATTATTACCTTATTTAAGTAAGAAATACCAAATACACAACAATTGGCGACGAGGATGGGATACATATGATGGTAATTACGACTACTACCATTGCTACTTCAAGTACAGTTATTTAGATTATTATTATACTACATCCCCAATTATGTCTACACAAGTATCTACATTTCAATTTTCCGTTGAATCTTTCAACCAGTCTGCCACCAAATGGTCCAGGTGGGTAAAGAGGCTGGAAGGTGCTTACAAGGTATTTAAAATTCCAGACGAAATGAGATTACCTTATCTACTACACTACATGGGTTCTGAGGCCTACGACACCCTATGCGACAAGTTAGCCCCAGAAGTCCCGGAAGACAAGTCATACGACGACATTGTCAATTTAATGGATAATTTTTACAACCCTGCACCCCTGGAAATTGCAGAAATCTTCAGATTCCAATCAAAAAGGCAAGCCGAAGGAGAAACAATACAAGAATACCTTCATTCGCTACAAAAGTTGTCAATTAACTGCAATTTCTCTACATATCTTAAAAGTGCTATAAGAAACCAATTTGTTTTTGGCCTACAATCGAAAAGAATACAAGCTAGACTTCTAGAATCAAAAGGACTGGACCTAGATAGAGCCGTTGAGATTGCCACAAGCATGGAGGCATCAGAAAAGGACAGTAACCAATTTTTTCATAATCAAAATTATAATAATTCTAGTGTCAATATGTTAAATGCAAAAGCAAGGAGTGCAAATAATAATAGGATGCAATTTCAGAATAACTCTGCTGCAAATTCTTCAAACACAAGTAGTAATGTATGTTATAGATGTGGAGATCCTTCACATTTAGCAAATTCTTGTTCAAAAAAACATTTAACTTGTAATTTTTGTAAAAAAGTTGGACACATTCAAAAAGTTTGTTTCAAATCAAAAAATGTTAGGTCTAACCAAGTAACTTCAGTTTGCTCAGTTCAAGAAATTTTTAAGATTAGTACTGTAAATTCAAAAGACAAATTTTTTATAAACTTAAGAGTAAACAACAATATTTTAAAATATGAAATTGATTCAGGTGCTGCTGTTACCATTGTAAACAAAAATGTATTTGACACATATTTTTCTACACTACAATTACAGAAATCTGATGTAAAATTAACTACATACTGTAAAAATCATTTAAATGTTTTAGGGTTAATTCCAGTGGAGGTTGAGCACCAGGGAATAAGGCAAATGTTAAAGTTGTACGTGGTGGATGGTGAGGGTCAATCACTAGTTGGAAGAGAATGGATACGTGCCCTTGGAATTAAACTACATGAGGTAAATACAATATCACATGAGAACTCTAAAGTTTCAAGTTTATTAGATAAATACAAACATTTGTTTGAAAAGTCAATTGGTGAAATTATAGGTTTAGAAGCTGAAATTCATTTAAAACCTGGTAGTATAGCAAGGTTTCATAAGGCTCGCCCAGTTGCTTTTGCATTACGTCCTAAAGTGGAAGCTGAGTTAGAGTCGTTAGTTGATCAGGGTGTTTTACAAAAAGTAGAGTTTTCAGATTGGGCAACCCCAATTGTCCCAGTTGTCAAACACAATGGGGACATACGCATTTGTGGGGATTTTAAAATTACTTTAAATCCCTGTATTGAAGTGGACGAATATCCTTTACCTACCCCTGATGATCTTCTATCTCAGTTAGCAGGGGGCGATAAGTATTCAAAAATAGACATTACAAAAGCTTATTTGCATTTACCTATAAAAAGTGAAATGAAACATTTACTTACACTTAATACTCACAAAGGTCTGTACCGCCCAAACCGTTTAATGTTCGGTATTGCAAGTGCTCCTGCCAAATGGCAACGTTTAATGGAACAAATGTTACAAGGAATAGATGGTATTTCTGTGTTCCTAGATGATATAAGAATTACTGCCCCAAATACTGATATACATTTACAAAGACTTGAACAAGTGTTACAAAAATTATCTGAACATAATTTACATATAAATTTAGACAAAAGTGAATTTTTAAAAGACGAAATTGAATACTGCGGATACAAAATAAATAAATTTGGTATTACTAGTAGCTCAGATAAAGTAGATGCAATTGTAAATGCTCCAATACCAGAAAATAAAACTCAAGTCCGAAGTTTTTGTGGGTTAGTTAATTATTACAGACGTTTTTTACAACATACCTCTACAATATTAAGACCTTTAACAAATCTACTTAAAAATCATGTTGAATTTGAATGGTCCCGAGATTGTCAAATGGCATTTGATAAAGCCAAAAGGCTTATTTCTTCTAAAAATGTTTTGTGTCACTATGACCCAAATTTGCCATTAGTCCTTGCAACTGATGCATCCCCTTATGGTGTTGGTGCAGTACTGTCCCATATTTTTCCAGACGGTACAGAAAGACCGATACAATTTGCTTCTCAAATGTTAACCCTTACACAGCAAAAGTACTCTCAAATAGATAAAGAGGCATACAGCATTATTTTTGGTGTGAAAAAGTTCTTCAATTACCTATATGCTAGAAATTTTATTTTATACACTGATCATAAACCTTTAATTCAGATTTTTGCACCAGATAAAAGTCTACCAGTTTTAAGTGCTACAAGAATGCAGCATTATGCAATTTTCTTACAAGGTCTAAAGTATGATATTCGATACAAAAATACAGATTCTCATTTTAATGCAGATGCTCTTTCACGTTTACCTATTAAAAATGAACAAAATTATACTCATGATGAACCAGACATATTCGAACTTAATCAGATTGAAAATTTACCTACAGATGTTAACAGTTTATCTTTTCATACCAAAAATGATGCTACTTTACAAAAGTTACTATTAGGTTTACAAACTGGTGAGGTTGTTGAAAAACAATTTAGATTTAACGTAGATCAATCAGAGTTTTCACTACAGTCTGGAGTCATAATGAGAGGACAACGAGTTTTAATACCTATGAAATTAAGAAATAAAATTCTGCATGAATTACACACTGCGCATTTTGGTATGGTGAGAATGAAGTCTTTAGCCCGGAGTTACTGCTGGTGGCCTTTCATAGACAAGGATATTGAATCTTTATGTAAAAATTGTTTTCATTGCAACAAGCACAAAAACAATCCTGTTAAGGACAATTCCCACATCTGGGAAACACCTAAATTTTGCTTTGAAAGAGTACATGCTGACTATGCTGGACCTTTTAACGGAGGCTATTACTTCATTTTAGTCGATTCTTTTAGTAAGTGGCCTGAAATACATTTCACGAAAGACACTACTACAAAAACTACAATCGAAATTTGTAGAAAAATCTTCACTACTTTCGGAATACCCACAGTATTTGTTACTGATAATGGTAGACAATTTGATTCTCATGAATTTAGAGAATTTATGAAGAATAATGGTATCACACATAAATTTACTGCACCCTATCACCCAGCCACGAATGGCCAGGGGGAGAGATATGTCCAAACACTAAAAAATTGTCTGCGAGCCATGCACAGTGAAGAGAAAGACAGAGAACTTGAATTGTGCAAGTTACTAATGCAGTATCGTAGAACACCTCACACAGTAACTGGCAAAAGCCCGTCTGAACGTATGCTAGGAAGGCAGATTAGAAATAGATTAGATTTACTTAAACCTTTTACTCATGACAAAAATGCTTACACAGACCAGAGTCTTAGAAATGTTGCTATAGATACCAGAGTCTCAGTGCGAGATTACTTTAATGCCAAATGGCAATTTGGCAAGGTTATACTAAGGTTAGGATTATTACATTATTTAGTTGAGTTAGATGATGGTAGGACGTGGAGACGTCATATTGACCAAATTAGAGTAATTGGGCAGGATACACCTATAGAATATAACCCAACTTGTTTCATTCCTGATACAGTTACACATAGTATAGTTCCAAGGGAGGTATCTGTCCCTGAACCCAATTCCGTTTCACCACCTA